TGAGTTATCTTCAACACCGCCTTCCTTTTATCATTGCGGAGGGGGGGGGGGGTTTCTACTGCTCTTTTGTCACGTAGAATTGCATGACAAAACTGGACTTTTCACATTAATACTCCAAACGACGAGGGCAAAGATTCTAATGGTATTCGACTTCTTATGATGCCCTTTGAACAACGTGGCAGTATTTATTTACTTATTTCAAATGTCATTGATAGTTGTCATTAGCCCTTTAGTTGACTTCGGGCTTCAAAAAGAGGAGGAGGAACATCAAAGTGGCTAAAAGTCGAGATTGAGAACAGCAGAGTGATTCACAAATGTAAAATAGTCAGACAGACACAATGGCAGAGAAAAGGTAAGATGAGTACTGTGAAAATGATCGAATATGATATGGAGTCAGGTCATGGTAGTTTGAAGTCAGAAGTCAACTGCCGGTTAATAGACCTTTTTGCCGCATGAGCATACGTTGCCCAGGGTTCACCACGTGGAGGTAAGTCTATTGCACACCCCGCTTTGCAGTATAAAGTGTCGGGGTTCTCCGAAAGTCCGACCATCCGAAGGTCCGCGGTTATTTGGGGTCAAAAGTTGGAATGCAGTTCTACAGTTTTTCTCTATTTGAGACTGAAGCTTGACTCTCCCCATGGGCACCTATTCTGGCGGACGGTTATTTGCTTCCATGAAAGCAAATCTACCTTTTACGGAAAACTCCGGTAGTAATTAGAAAATTTAGAAGAGGCTATAATTTTTGAGCCATCAATGTTGTCCATGTATTGTTTCGCCTCGAGAGAGGATTTAAAGAGGAACACAGTCAGTAGAATTGGTGAATAGTATTTGATCTATCATATCGAGAAGTGAATGAAAGCGGGAGAAATAAGTTAGCAGTTGAATATAGATTAGGGATGATGGTGAGTTGGTTCAAGTCTTTCTGAAAGCATAATTTGGTTTTTGCTCGGTCTTGATAACTTATGTAATTTTGACGTCGTTAATCCTATTCAATCCTTCTTTTGCAGACTAAAATGGCGAAATTGAAGTTCCAGCTCTCTTTCACCATTGACGAGGAGGATGTCCTCGAGTCTGGATTTGTAACTGTACCGCTGGACTAGTTCTCAGAATGTTCACCTCATATTCCTTATGAAAAATTTCATTGAACAATTTATTTATTTACTTACTTCGTTCTTATCTACAATCAGTGTTTCCGCCGAATTTATTGTGATTTCGGTGTTTAATTATGTCAATGCCTGTGTTCACTTTGTTTTCTTTTTTTCTATTTTTTGTGCTGTTTGGCTTATACATCTGTTGAAATTTACTCGTGTTATTCTGTTGAAATGACCTGAATATTAGCTTTAATGGGTGCAAATTTCTATTGTATCATCAAATTACAGCTTATTCTGAAAAAATGCGCATTTAGCATCTGAAAGACGGCTATACATATGAATGCCAAAAGTTGTATGGATTCTTGGAAGAACAGATCAATTTTCTGATTTTACCGAGAAATGGCAAATACAGATTCTGCACTGGATCCACTGGAAATAATAACAAAAAAATGTTGGTAAAATAAGAGTGAATCTGTATCACGCTGAATGCGTCATTGAGCGCAGGATGTTATAGTCAGTTAAACAAAGAATTGTCTTCAAAAACATTAGGGGTGTTAAATGGGAGATTCGTCTTTTTATCGTGTCAAAGTGCCTCTCAGAATATGATGGTCAAATTTAGATCCCCGGGTTCAGTCAGTAGCACCAGACGTAGCCGACTGGAAAACTTTTATCTTGTTCACGAGACTTGAGTAAGAGGCCCATAGAGATTAACAAGTCATGTAGACTTTCAACTGACCACCAAACGAACGCCAAGCTAGAACGTATTGAACCAGTTATATCAACGAAAGGACACAGTGATGTTGCTTCAAGCATTAAAGTCAATGAAAATATTAGTGTATAAATCACAAACTTAATTGTCAAATGATTCTCCAAACATGTTGGTACGTAGTGTCGTGTATCGAAGCTCATGGAGAACAATTTCAACGCTTATACTAAACAACTGATTTTTCAGTGTGCTGTTGTTGGAAGTATTCTGTATTCAAATATTTTAAGTGGAAATGAAATATTATTCTATATTTGCATACACATACATACTCTCAATTGCTTTTCCAACTTGAGATAATAGATTTAAAAAATTAAAAATTTTAGTCGTTAAAATAATTAAAATTTGAACCTTCAGCTGTAAAAGCAGCATAAATATACAACAGGTGAAATTTATTCGTTCAAAAAGTGAAATGGTATAACCCCTTAGCTTTAGGTAATTGTAATAAGGTCATCAAATACCAATCTTCTGAGCCTTTTGGTTCGGTTAACCTATCCCTTCATATTATCTGATGGCGGACAAACTCGCCGAAGCTGAAGAGCTTGTAAAGAAGGCTCAAAAATGGTTTAATTAAATTTATTATGCTTATGTATTTAGCATGAAGACATCATTCCTCAAATGGTCACCCGATGTTGATAGTGCAATAGATTATTATAAGAAGGCGATTGTAATTTATCGTAATTTAAAAAAACTTCAAGAAGCAGCTGAGTTAAATTTGAAGGTAAATAAGTCAATAGGTTGTAAATCTTTGAAATTTTAGATTGCTGAACTACATGGCCAAAATTGTTCATTTTTTCATTGTGCAAAGGCATATGAATCTGCTGCCTTGTTGTATCGCGACTTAGGTGATTATAAAAAAGTTATTGACTGCCTTGGAACTGCTGGACAAATTATGAGACAAAACGGTGTTCCTGATTCAGCAACCACCCTTTATAGCAAAGGAGCAAAGTAAGAAATCGTAGGCGTTTTTAATAAATATACTATTTATTCATTAGCCAAATGTTTCACTAATTATATTTATCTATTTGCCATGTAAATATATAAGCATTGTAATTTTCTTTATTTGGCAATTAGGTTGCTAGAAACTGCTCAACCTGAAGATTCAGCTCGCTTTTATGACCATGCTGCGGAAACCTCCGAAGTAGGTCATTTTTTTCATTCTACTTTCTTTTGTTTGTTTTTGAAAATTAGTTTTAAAGATGAATTTAAATGTGAATTCATTATTGTATCTCATAAAATCGTGCAAAATTGACATATTTGTATTATCATTCCCTCATTATTGTGGTCTAACAATCTGCTCCACGGCTATGAAATAAAGTAATTAGGATAATGACTGATTACTACCTACTCTTTATCACACCCGTTGTTTGCGTATTACTTTTTGTTAAAATATGATTGTGTGTTTGAATTTATTTTTAATGAAATCAATAAATCATATCACGTGGATGGAGTGACCCGGAAACCACTAATTCTCAGAAGAGCTCTTGCTCACCGTTATACGGTTACCACGAGAAGATTAATTCCCTTCGAACCTTAAAATCTCCTAGTGGTCTGAGCAGACGTAGTTACATCTTTGGCCCTTAAACTGATTTCAATATTTCCCCTCACTTCTAGTTAGAAGATAAGTACCTACAGTCGGCCGATTTTGATGTACCTTCCTCTCTTTGAAGCCTGAAGTCAACTAAAGGGCTAATGATTACCATCAAGACGCCTGTCATTTGATAAAATAATGAATAATAATAATATTTCTCCTAGTTAGAAGATAAGTACCTACAGGCGGCCGATTTTGCCACACAATCCGCGCGTATGTGGGTGCGTTTGCAACGTTTCAAGGAAGCTGAGACACAGTTACGTCGTGCTATGGATTTAGCAATCTCTGATACCTCAGATGATGCCACCCAAACTGCTTATCAAGTCTGTGGAAAGGCCGTTGTCGTTCTGGTGATTGTTAAGCTCATCCAGGAGGATTCCGTCGCCGCAAACAAGGTATATGGAGAGGCTTTGGAGTAAGGACAAATTTAATTTTTTACACAATTTTTCTATTTATATGCTTGCGATTCATGCATGATTGAGTTTGCAAGTAGTAGACGGTTGTCGAATTAATATTTCTTTGAATATTCCAGGAAGATTCTGTTGGCATAAATTGTGGTTGTACAGAAGCTTCTGGTAAAACACTTGTGTTTATTGGTCTTTAATTCGAGTCAAATCTGGTGCCGATAAGTAATTGAGCAGCCTTGCAATAACGTATAAGTGTTGTGTTGCTTGGGTGCTCAGAAAGCAGATTACATCAGCTGGTTAAAATGCATTGTCATTAATTTGAAAAAAGTGCCCTTGAATTCCTGTCATATACATGTTTTATCATTAATTTATTCCGAATGGCAGGCGTTTTGGTAATTATCATTAGACCTTAAGCTGACTTTAGGCTTCACAAGGCGAAGGAACATCAAAGTAACGGAAAGTCGAGGGGTAGGGTACAGAAGAGCGATTCATAGATGTAAAAGAGACAAACAGAGGCAAAAGCGGAGAAAAGGCAAGATGAGTACTGTGGAAGTTGTCAAATAAGGCATACAGTGGGGTGATGGTAGTTTGAAGTGAGAAGCCAACTGCCAGTTAATAGACTTTTTTGCGTATGAGTATATACGTTGCCCAGGGTGCACCACGTGGAAGCAAGTCTATCGCACACCACTGTTTTATCATTATAATCAATTGTAAGCCATGTAAAGTACGCCTGATCGTGGAGGTATCAATGCTTGTCAATACTTTGTTTATCGGTAAGGAGGAAAGAGTGCTAACTTGCGCCATTTCCGTTCGCGTAGTTCAGATTGAAGGCTGGCCAATCTAATGATTACCTATTTTAAGTATGTGCTACGGGATCCTTGAAAATAATAAATGTTAAATGTGAATACAGGTTTCTGAGCTAAGTTTTAAATGTACAGTTTTGTTAAAGTCGGTTTCCAAGGTGCTTAGTGCGATTATTTTTCTGTTTATTTTCAGGAAGTATCGTTTTGGAGAGACAGATGACGCAATGCCTGTTGCACGGTTAATTCAAATCTACGAATCCTATGATTCTGCGGCCGCAACCGAAATACTCTCTCAGCCTACCTTCCGAAATCTTGAGACCGAGGTTACCTATTTATTACTATGCTTCTTAAGTATGAATTCAGCTGTTCGTTGCTTATATTCTTATCTCATTTGTAGTTTGCTCGTCTCGCCCGTACAATAAAGTTCCCTAAAGAGCTTGAAGGCGCAACGGAAGGTCAGGCTGGGAGTGGAGAATTAGAGGATATATGCTAAGATGGGATCGAACGAAATTGATGTGATATCGAATTTGACTTATTTATTTGTAATGGATACAATTGTGTTGTACTCTGTGAAGCCGTGTCATTCCGTTTATTCTAGTTTATTATTATTTGTGAATGGATGAATTAGTGTGGTTGGGTTTTGTCTCCCTTATTAAAAGCAAATTGTGTCTGGGTAGGGGGGAAACTCTTGAAATCAGGCTGGGCATCATTTTGTGAAACTTAGTTTGCTTTTCTGATTTCATTCCCAATTAGATGACATAAAATATATGAGTCTGTGTGGAAGCAATGTCTAGTTAGAAGGTCCTAGCATATATATTAAATTTAGAAATCTTTGAGTTCGTAAATAAAGTTAGAGTATTAATGTTTTAATCATTGAATTGCACTTCAACTCTCTTGCAAATAAAGCGCGTTGTTTGAAAAAATATTAGTTATCGAGTCTTATATTACAATGCCTAATTCCGACTCATTTTTCTCGTCTTCTCAGAGAAGTCTCAGTGATTGTTCTTCGTTAATAGGAAGAAGGCTTCAGAGATTTCGGGATTGGAAGTCTCCGAATTCGCAAACTTGGAATCACGCAGTAGATGTTTGGAATCAAAGTTTAAAAAATGAGCCAAATAAATATCAAAATGGAAAGTCATCTGGTAATTTTATTTTATAGATATAAATCCGTAGATTCAACTAAGTCTATTGATCCAATTGAGTAAATATTTGATTATCAGTCTTGACATATTTAGAGAAAAACTTGCTGAAGTCTTGAGTTTGGTTTCGTCGCTTAAGTCCTTCGTAAGTGAAATTTTTATCGCATAATTTAAGGCTCCTAATCCTGAAAATGCCAGTAAGCTGAATTTTGGAAGCAGTATAACTTTTTACTCCTTGAAGCTGATATCAAACACAGTTTTGCAAATCTCTCCGAGATTGTGGATAAACTTTCAGTAGCTGCATCTGAACTTCAAAATCAGTTTAATTTCAATGAAAACGATGAACTCTTTGAATCTTCAAGTTTCTTAAATGAGGTAAGTTATAGTATTGTCTTAGATTTTAGAATATTAAATGCTTAAGATGGAAATGCCTTTCTTGTGTTTTAGGAAGAAGTGTGTAAACCTTCATCGAGTGCTAATTTCAGTGATTTATTAGAATCCGTTAAAGCTCTTGAAGAGGAAATACGAAAATTGCCTGAACTAATTGAAACGTAAATATCTTATTTTTTAGAAATAATTTATTCATTTTAGTTCGAAAAGACAATTTGAAGAAGAAACCATTCGATATTATGAAGAACAGACAGAAAAATTGCTGTCTTCAGCTATTGAAAGCTGCTTGTAAGCTCTTAAGATTTTATTACCTTATTAAACGTATCTAGGTCCATTTCTAAGGAAAAGATAGATGAATTGGTTTCTTTTGCTATCAAAGAAGCTACCGAAATGTGAAGGCTGGTTGCCTTGCTCAATTTTGCATTATGCTTCGTTTTAGTAACTTTTATGCACATGTAATATTCTGTCTATTTTGATAATGGAATTTGTTCAATATAGTTTAATATTGTCGTGGCAAATGTTTTCAAGTTAGCAGACCCGACAAGTTACTAGAGGAAAGTATAATTTATTTTGGTTGTAGGTAAAGAATATGCTATTAAATTTCCCCTATTGTTTACTCTAACGCTCTCTACTTTATAAATCATTAATAATTCCCAGGGTCATTTAGGAAGGGGTTTTCAAGTCTCATATTTGGTTTTTGTCATAGTGGCGCGAATTCTGCCCCATCCTACTTTAGGCTGACTTTAACAAGGTCTTAACAAAAGCTTATTTTCAGCCATGCCATTTAATTTTGAGTAAAGTGATTAAAATATCAATAGAAACGACTATTTTTAAGAGCATTTATATCCTTTAATCCGTCAGTTAAAAAGTCCAATTTAATGGGAGACTTCAATGATTTTACACGGGAATAGTGTAACAGGAGCTAGCGGACAGTCAAGAGTTCCTCGAGAAGTCGTTGAGAAAACAAGTGTGCCCACCCTAGCAAAGCTATGGTAATTGGTATTATCTTGAGAAAATCTACTTCATTAAAATGACGAACCGTAGCCAGCCGTTTTGGGCTTATCATATTGCAATGACCTTCTTTTACAACCAAGTGTGGAGGTGACCAAGGATTCTGTTACTAAGGGATTGTTCAATTTGATAAATTGGAGTATAAAATTTTTTAGCCATGTGTAATATACTTACGCTTCTGACTGATTCAGTTTATAGTATATATGTATATCTAGTCAATGCGCGAAAGCTCACGAAATAGCTCTAATTCTACTGATTTCTCTTTTCTACTAATCTGAATGTAATTAAACGTCTTTTCTGGTGTTAGCAACACCAATAGGCCTGAAAGTACTCTAAAAAGCGCCTTCAATTCTACTTCCTCGTAGAATTTTTATATCGACCTTTGCGTCCTCCAACGCTTTAGACTTTCAGGTCATTCGATAACTTTCCATAGTCTTTCTCTCTCTTATGATATCACTTTAACATCAATGGCCACCGCCTTTTGATGTCATCTCTATCAGATGAGTTTTAAATATTTATATGCTCACCCGAAATTCCACCCACTAACGTACTCTTTCGAAAAATAAAACAATTACACAACTTCTAAAAGGAGATTCTGCCTTCACCTTCATCCAATCTAAGTACGTATTCTTCATCCAGACTCTACGCCCAAGTATTAACGTCCTTCTTGGAAAAAGGCGTTTATTCAATTTTTTTCAATTTTCATTAGTGGATCGTTAACAAAGATAGCAACTGCAAAAGAGAAAACGATTTCGGAAAAGGGAATGGAACTTGATTCGGGATAATTTCTCCTCTTCACAGCTTAAGTAATACAAGCTGTTACTTGTGATGAAATGATCTTTTGAAGACTGGGGTGCGCGATAGACTTACCTCCACGTGGTGCCACCATGGACTACGTATATTCATACGACAAATAGTCTATTACTCGGCATTTTACTTCAATTTATTATGATTAGCTTGAAACGAAGCAATAAGAGAAATCGCCCTCGTCAGGGCAAATCACAACTTCTACAGATCCTTCAGTGGAATGCCGGAGGGATGTCACAGGACAAAAAGATCCAAGTTCAAAAAATCCTACAAACCTATGATGTAGACATATTCACAATTTCTATTAATTAACTGCTATATATGTGCATGCTATATATATATAATAATAAATATCATAAAGCCTGCCATTTGAAAAAATAATTTATCATTTGCCTTTTAGCTGACTTCGGGCTTCACAGAGGGAAGGACGTACATCAAAATGAGTAAAAGTGAAGAGGGAGGACAGAAGAGTGATTTAGAGATGTTAAAAAGACAGACAGATACAAAGGCAGAGAAAAAGTAGGATAAGTATGGTGGAAGTGATTGAATAAGACATACAGTGGGATCATGACAGTTTGAAGTCAGAAGTCGACTTTTTTGCCGTATGAGAATACGTTGCCCAGGGTTCACCACGTGGAGGCAAGTCTATTGCACACCCCTTTGAAATAATAATAATCTTTTGAAGACTATCCTATTGAGTCCGACATCAGAATCAGGGATGACATTCTTGCGAGCAGTATTCCAGCTACTTTTATCTTTTATGGTCTTGAAAAGTATCAGGTTCGGCTTATCGTTGAACTTCTTACCCCTTGTTTCAATTGGACGCTTCATATTTTCAATCAAATGAATTAGGAATTTTCTAAAAAAATGACCATGCATTTTCTTCTTAGGCACAGGTAATGAATATCTCACCACGTCCACAAACATTTTCCTTCCTTTTTACAAATCACCTCACAAGTGCTCAATTCGTACGTTTGGTATTTTATCCTCTCACATATATCTGATTGGGAAGCATTGTGACTGGAAATCCATCAACATTGAGATTTAGATCTTGACACCCAGGTGGGAGGTACGCACTGTTTTCAGCAATATACCACTCCTAGAGACTAAATGAAGGATTTAGAAAGGACAATCATGAGATAAACGGTAAAGTGGGTTAAATCGCGCTATTTATATTGACCCACTTATAACAACACACTTGCTGTGGGAATTTGCGCATTTAATAAAAAAAATCAATATCGATCGATAAGTAGGTGGTCATACTTGTATACGATTAGCATTTTAGACATACCAAGATGTAAGAGAACAAAGAAGCTGCCAATGTATTATTAAGTAGGCTTTATCAATCCAACCACTAACTCTCAATTCCAATTCAGTCGATCGTTAACTTCCATCAAAACATCAAATATTCTCCACCTGATCTCCTATAAACTGTTGGAAATATGCCCTCCTTTCCCTCGCCACCCTTTTGGAAGCGTGCTTTAGCAGAACAAAATCATGCGAACCAGAACTATGAGTTTAAATAGTAATTGCAAAAATCAAACGGAAAATATACGAACCCGCCATGATTCCAGATATGAGAATGACTGACTTGTAATGATCACAAAGTCACCCATAGGTGCATCCATGAATTTTATAGACGTACCACAGACTCAATTGGGGTACAGTCAATGGCACACTCGAGTTCGGCTTCTAACACTAGATTGATTGTTGCCAGTGCTTGGAAAATATTTTACTTTCCTTAAAAGAAGGCCTAAGTACTAATGACAACGATTCGTTATATTTTTGGCATTTCCCATGACTGATTAAAATGTGTTGAGTACTTCGATTTGCAGAGACCCATCTAACTACAGGGGACACGAAAATTTAGTAAGGGGGGAGAATGTTCAAGTGAGAAGTGAGATCTATAGAAACAGGAAAACCCCACTTCACAATAGTTCACAATAATTATCGGATCGACCATAGTTTCAAGCAGAAGTTTCTCTGACTCGTCATATCTTCCTCCCGTCATGTTATGGTATAGGGTAAAAAAAGACTGGGTGAAAGGCCTTTCTATGGCTTCTGAAGCATCGGGTTTTCCATAGAACTTTTATAGCGGCCTTGGGCTGCGAAAGCTGTCCACCAGTTGACAGATAATCGTTGGAATTTTGGTGATCTGTTCGCCAATATCTTCTCATCTCATCACTTATAGTCTGTTTTCCGCTTACACCTTTCCGTTTTCGTTCGACATTCGGCCCGTTTCAAGCATATACAGGAGAATGTTTGAATCATTGATGTCAGGGCCAAATTAGGACATAACCCCTACTCATGCTAGGATGTTGTTGTCAGAGTTCTTTCTCTCTCACCAACTATCGATTGACGCTTTAAATTGCTAGCCACGGGATTAAAAATTATAGATAATGAAGAGTTTTATACTCGAAAAAAATATTGCATTCCCGCTCAGTATTGAGACCGATAAACACATTACAGAGGCATCTCGAGAGAATTGAACGCATGGACAGCTAATTAAGAATTCGTTTAATGATTAATTAAGTTATAATAGGAGAAATCTTCACTCTAGGAGACTCTTTCTTCTTATGGACAATTAGATTTTGGCCTACGCATCAAAACGGCTTAGGAACTCAATGGAAAACGTCCGAAAAAATATTTCCAGCCTCGTTGGCTATCGACAATTAGGGTTGTCAAAACATTCATCCTCAATGTTGAGTGCCTGATGTGCATTGAACGACTTCGAATACACCCTGTCTACAAATGTCGTATTCACTTCGTCACTTCTTATGAATGCGTGTTTATTGATATTCAGTTATGGCTTTGTGGAGTGATTAGATTTGCACTTGGGAAAACATTATTATTATTATATCAAATGGCAGACTTCAGTCTTCACAGAGGGGAAGGAACATCAAAGTGTAAAAAATTCAAGAGGGGGGGGGGGCAGAAGAGTGTATCAGAGACGAAGGTATATAAGGCGGAAAAAAGGTGATGTGAGTATCGTGAAAGTAGTCGAATATGAAATACAGTGGGGTCATGGTAGTTTGAAGTCAACTGCCAGGTAATAGACTTTTTTACCGTATGAGTATACGTTGCCCAGGGTGCACCACGTGGAGGTAAGTCTATCACACACCCCACTTGGGAAAACATCGGTATTCCTCTGCTGGCTGATATATGGCGAAGATTCCTGCCTCTCGTTAATGTAACAAAAGTCTGATGTCAATAATTACAGCCTTTTGTGCCTCACAAATTGCTTGCGGTGGACGAGTTTCTAATGCATCAACAAGGATAATTAATTCCAGAGACCACTGAGAGATAAGAAGGGCTTCCCAAACACCAATGTCAGGCAGACTTGTATGCTTTTAATGGAAGCGAGTAAGCCGTGTTGGCTATTTACTGAAATGAACTAGCTACACGTGTCAAGTTATCCCCATATCGGTGATATTTGATGCATTAATTTGCCGAGAGAATACCTGTTAATCCATCTTATGTCAAATTGGATCTGAATGAACTCAGACTTTTCAGTTAGATAAAAGGTGAATACTGAATATGAGTGTTCATACCTATATGATTCCCAATCATATCCAGCTTATTATATTCAGCTAAATGGGGTGTGCGATAGACTTACCTCTACGTGGTGCACCCTGGGAAACGTATACTCATTCGGCAGTTGACTTCTCATTTCAAACTACCATGACCTCACCGTAAGTAATAGTCGACCACTTCTACAGTATTCACCTTACCCTACTCTCTATTATTGTGCCTGTCTCTTTTATATCTGCAAATCACTCTTCGGTCCACCCTCTTGAGCTTTGATGTTTCTCCCCTCTGCGAAATTTGAAGTCAGCTAGGAGCTAATGATAACTATCAAAATGCCTGCCATTCGGAATAAATAAATATTCGAATAAATTGGCTTCCCATTCACATGTGAGGTTGAGTAGGTACTCTGTATGCATTCTATCAATACTGGAACGTAGATAGAGAACTTCAGGGTCAGCAACAGCTCTGTACACGACTTTAGAACAATTGACCGAGAATGAGAAATTTGTCATACCATCTCAATAGACTGCTAAAGCATTCTATATGCAATGACCAATAATGACCAAAATTATTACGGAATGCTCATAATCAAATAAAAGGCACAAAATAGAAAACTGCTCTTAGTGAATCGTCACAGCTTCGCGCCTACTCATATTGCGCATACACCTTTTCTCTTTCTACTCTTTCACTTTCACTTGATTCTATTTTTTCGAAATACAGCAGCTCCCAGTCTTCATATTTGAGGACGGCTGTTAAAATCCACTAAATTTGAAGAAAATTTCTAGGACTTTAAAAGTTCGCATCTTCGTCTAGTTCAATCGAGCCTCCAGTGTGGTGTTACAACAAGGTCTTATACTTCCATAAGCTCACCAGAACTCACTCAAGATGAATTACAATGATGGCGATTAAGATTCTTTCCGGCCACATGAGTCAGGTCAAATATAAAAACTGGGCAAGTCCCCAACAGCATAAAAGCATATTCGACGAAATAGATTAGCTCCATGCAATGCAGCAATTTGCTCCTTTCTGGTATAAAATTTAGTACAAAAGGAGTTATCAGAAGAACCACCAGATACGGGAAAAACACGATAATGTATGAAAAGACATATTAATTATTCAGGATTTACTAGCCTTCAGCAGGTGGAGGAGGTGGGGGCTGTTCGAAAATAATATCATATTCGTTTCTTTCTCTAAGAACACTAAAGTAGATGGCAAATACAAGGACACTGGTGAGCATGATGGGATAATGGTAGCGAGGAATATCAGTAGGCTTGTGAAGAAAGTTCATAGCTGCATGCCATCTGTTGGTGGTAGAGTAGGGCAGCTGTCCATTAGCAGGATCTATCTTTATTTCGCGTGATGTTGAGGATGCCAAACGCCTCCATAGACATTGTACAGATTTCGAAAATACTTTAGTAAACATATGAAAATTTACAAAGAAGTAAAATAAAGTTTATGTACAAAAATGAAAGTTAGCAAAGGGGTTAGTAAAGAGACAACACAAGGACATATAATAGCCAGTATAAGTCAAGCAAATGAAGAAATGAAGTCCTCTTTAAGGTTTTTTTTATTTCATTCACGCCTTTTAAAATAGTTATTATATATATAAAATTGCAAAATTTTTGGCATGATAGTAGATTTGTGAGAAAGTAGAGCTTTTAATTTTATAATTTTCTAAGTTATAATTGAGCATTCAAAATGGGTAAAGAAAGGTTTTTATGTTATCTCATTGATATTAAGAACTTCTTGTAAAATTATTTGTTACCTTTTATAAATTATTGCTCATAAGAATATATTCATCTGATATTGGAAAAAATGATCAATGATTTATTCTTTCACCCTAAATTAAAAGTTTTCCGACTCATTATCTGTCCAATCTACATCAGCTCGCCTCCTTATTCTGTATTTTTTTAAATTACAAAACTCAAAGTGGCGATCAAAGTCATATATATTTTGAATTTCGTCTAGATCATAATGATGTGTCATTCACACGATTTATCTCGTTGCCTTGTATATTTAGAGTTGATTAAATATTATTCGATTGCCTGAAATCGTAAGCTTATTGAATTTCCTTCCTGACCGATTAAGAAGAAATTGGAATTTAAAGTACCTATAGCCAGCTAGTTTATAAGCACAATCTCATGGTTAGCTCTTGAAGCTTATCAAGTAATGTTTTTATTTAAATTTTTCATGAAGAAAATAGTTAAAATCTTATCATAGTTTATGCCACGAAAATTTCAACCGAAATTATATGCAAAAGTAAACATGATAGATCAAGTATAATTACACTAAAACAGATTTAAAATAAAACGACTTATTAGTTAATAGTAACTGCTTTATAAGATGAAGGGAAAGCACGTTTTTTTCGTTATAATTTGCTTTGCAAAAAATTCTAATCCAATTTTCGACTGCTGTTAATAGTTATCATAAATTATAAATTACATTCCTTTACAAATAAATTCAAACACATAGTGCATTGTTGAGAGGAACACATTTTAACTACTAAATTGCCGTTTATAGGTGTAACCTAGAGGTGTTTATTCCTATAAACTTAATTACATGACATTCTGGTTGACCTTTGTTTGAGATTCCCATCTGCTTTATCGTACCCGCTTGTTCTATGATGCTTGGTGGTTCTTGTGTAAGTATTGCGTCTTTTTGTCATTTTATGTACCTATTAGTCCAAAATATTCCTAATAATGTTAGCTTTCAACTTTAACATTTTTAAAAATTATAAGTTTTGTTGGATTTAGTTTGTTTCTTTATAAAAGCAGAATTCTTCTAGTTTATTTCTTATTGTTTTTACTTGTCTTCATTTTCGCTACCTTTAATTTTTTAATAAGTGTCCGAACGTTGTACTCGCTAAACATCTAGTTACTCGAGATGATAGAGCGACCAACATTTCCAAAGATGGTAGATTTTCTGGTTGCACAATATGGTTCACTGGTATGTAATTTACAGAGTTTTCATATTGAATTTTGGTTTTATTTTTCACCAAAAAGTTTCTCTAAGGTCTAAGTGGAGCAGGTAAATCAGCACTTGCATTCGCTCTTGAGAAGAGATTAATAGCAATGGGCATCAACGCTTACTCCCTTGATGGTGATAACATCCGTCTTGGTCTCAATAAAGACCTCAAATTTTCGAATAAAGATCGCGCTGAGAATATTCGTCGAATCGCTGAAGTGGCTAAGCTCTTCGCTGATTCTGGCCTGGTCACTCTCACGAGTTTCATCAGTCCATTCGAAAATGTAGGTTTTATTATTTGAATTTGTCCGTCTTTAATTGTATAAATAATTTTCATATAAGTTCTAATTTGCCATTTGATAGAATTGTGATTTTGAAGCTTTAAAACTATTACAATTTCAGTAAAAATGATTTTTTCGTCGGAAGCAGCTTCTTACATAGAGATACAAATGGTGAGCGGATAGACTGACTAAATTAGGTTAGTTAAAAGAGTGTTGGCATGCGAGTCTTTATTTGCATACTCTTTGATGCTACCCCTTTTAGACAAGATTAGTGTTGAAAATTGATTTTCCTAAATTAGTTTGAGAGCTATCTTTATAATAATTATATTTCCATTCAGGAACGTCGATTTGCTCGAGAGTTGCATGCCAAGTGTGGACTCCCCTTCTTCGAGGTGTATTTGTCCACTCCTTTGGAGGTTTGTGAAGCTCGTGACACGAAGCAGCTTTACGCTAGGGCTCGACGTGGGGAGATTCCGGACTTTACTGGGATTAGTTCACCTTATGAGCCACCTATTAATCCGGAAGTTTCTCTAAACACTGCTGAGATCAGCTTGGAGGAGTGTGTTGAGAGACTTATCCGAGTGTTATATGAAAGGGTAAGCTAATGCACCAAAAAGTTCTATTTCCTTCATGATTTATATTTTATACAGTATTTTTACTTCAAATTAATTAAATATCGACAAGAAATAAGACATTTCCTATGGTGTTGCAAAGTTGGTGCATATTGTAATTATCGTTCTGATGTAAATTCGGAAAGAATGCGACTTCTAAAATCGGTATTCTAGTTTTGTTTATTTCAAGCACTTCACTTTTGGTGTTTTTTAAATGTTATTTATATACAAGTAATCTATCGATTGCCAATTAATGATTTGCATGTCTGCTAATCATAAAAACCGTGTTGCTCAGAAATGATATCTTAACAATCTTTCCTCTTGAAATGACGTACCTTTAGTATTTGGCTATTTGGTCTTCGTGGAATTGTAATCTTCCCTCCTAAGACCTAAGAGGAAATAGGGACTTTCGCACTTCGAACGAGAGTCAATTCAATTGGCTAAGATGGTTTGAATTCGATATTTTCATCAGAGAAGTGAAGCAAAGTTCTATTAGAATCTTCCTCAAAATTATTATTCAATTAAGCAATGCACTTAATCGCTCTTTTGGAAAGCGTGCTTTTAGAACACCTTTTCTTCCCTTGCTTTGGACTGACAGGTGATCGGTGTTGAGGGTGTGATTTATATTCTCACCGTTTCTAAACCTCACGTCTTTAGAATAGGCCAACACCTTTAATGCTGAAAAACTCCCCTTTCAAGTTAATTTGTCACTTTTTATTGTATTAATAAATAAGCAATTCCCTTTGTGACAATTAGAATTATTTTAGGTTAATTTAACTACTGAGGTAGTTGGTAGAATGTAAGTCTATGGAAAGTTAAGAAATGCCAATCAAATTTCCTCACCTTTTTTGCCAAACAGTTATGGGAATTAAGGGGATAAAGTCAGTCTGTGTGGAACGCGTATTAGTCATCGAATGCACATGGGCTTTGTGCACACTTCAAGGTGGTACATAGGTCCTTGGGCATTTGCATGGGTCATGGTACCACTAAATGACTAATAGTAAAAAATTGCCTATATATATATATATATATATATATATATATGTATCCCCCAGTTCAACTTTCAACCAAAAGAAACCTTAACGCTTATTTCTATGTCATAATATTCAAAAGGTTGGTGTTTTGAAGACGACTGCATAATCTTTATGTTGGTTAAATTTACCAATTAAATGAAGTAAAAATTATTTTTACTACCATAAGTAATACAAAAAAGATGTATTGCGCTTTTTAATTGTGGAAAGGTGTTAACGTCACATACGAAGAGGGAGATGATTCAGGAGGTTGTTTGGAATAAAGTCAGGATTTCAGGGGGTCTTGTTTGATTTTCGAACCCGAATTGTGCAGTATCTACTCAATGGTTGTTCGAGTACCAATTTTTGTCTTTGTCCAGTACAAATTGTTCGGTTGTTTAATCATGGTGGCCAGCATTGCCATTGAAATTCCATTTGCTTTTGAAGGGTTGAAAGCAAACATGATCTTGAACGATATTCGGCTGTTTAACAGTCTTAACATGCCAGTGTCGAGACATTCAAAATATTTGTTCATTTATTTATAACAAATGGTAGGCGTTTTGATAGTTATTATTAGCTGTTTAGTTGACTTCAGGCTTCACAGAAAGGAGGAGGAACATCAAAGTGAGAAGAATTCGGGAGGGGGAGGAATAGAAGAGTGATTCACAGATGTGAAAGAGACAGACAGACACAAAGGCTCAGAAAGGGTAAGATGAGTACTGTGATAGAGGTCGAATATGACATACAGTGGGGATGATGGTTGTTTGAAGTGGTAAGTCAACTTCCGATTAATAGACTTTTTTGCCGTATGATTAAACGTTGCCCAGGGTGCATCACGAGGAGGTAAGTCTATCCCACACCCCACATTCAAATTATCATATTTTTACTTCCGATGACCAAAATAACAGATTGATAATGTCGATTTTAGCGTGGTGTAGCTAGAAAAGTGGTGTGTTTTTTCGTCAGTATTTGTACTAAGTGGAAATTGAACTTTAATAGTTTATTTAATAAAATAAGCGATATTTTATTGAGCATCACCGCAAACGAAAGTTGGTAACATTTCGTTTTGTGATGAAATGAGCTATGCTTGTGTGCGTTGCAGTTCTACAGACTGTGCAAGGTTCTGAATTAGTAAGGAGAAACAATCTTTTTGGAAATTATTCAATGTTTATTTCACATTATTGGCATGAAAAATTTTAAGTCGCAAACATTTCAGGTCATGGTGTGACGAGATCAACTCCCATTAATCAATTATTCTATTGCCTGACTAATTATATTTGGCTACGTTCAATATCAGAGTCCAGCGATTGGTTCAATCTCCTACGATCAATCTCTCTATATGATCAAAAGCCAGTTAATGTATTATAAACCAACTTCTGAATAATCCTATAAGGATGCCATGGTTTTGAAAATGAACTTCTCTTGCTTGGTTAGTCTCTACACATTCTTCCACTTGTCCGAGCACATTTGGTGTACCTCATAACACTAAGGCGGCTTTACATTAGAGCAATTCGCAAATTTTGAGATGCGAATATTGATACTCGAATATTCGCTCACGTTAGCACTCATTTCACAAGTTACTTCCAAAAACTGCACACATCTGTAAATGCGAATATTGAAAATTGGTGTTCGTTGAAATTTGCGGTTAGTAAGAAAAAATACAAAGTTAGAAATGCGTCCTGGTAATTCCACGCGTGCATTCAAAACTTGGTAATAAGTATCCAACCATTTCTCTCACTAGACTTGGAATTCGAACCTATTCACTACCCATTCAGCTTAAAGAACAGGTTTGGGCATTGTTTGTCAAATCGACTATTTGCTGAGATTAATAGTCGGCGAATTTAAAAATATGATAGAATCGTCTATCAGAACACTGGAAGGCAGAACTGGGATGGAACATTGCAGTATGACGGGTTTGGAAAGATTGAACAATATTTTACATACTTGGAGTCGTCATTTTTGTGTTCATAAAATAGCGAAATCTTCACCAGTGCAAAGCAAATTATTTCCTTTTGCGAAACGTTAGTATATACCTTACTTATGGGGTGTGTGATAGACTTACCTCCACGTGGTGTACCATAGCCAACGTATACTCATACGGGAAAAGGTCTATTAACCGGCAGTTGACTTCTGCCTCCAAACCACCATCACCCCACTCTATGTCATATTCAACCACTTTCACGGTACTCGCCTCACCTTTTTTCTACCTTGAATCGCTCTTCTGTCTCCCCCCCCCCCCCCAAGACTTTTTTCACTTTGATGTTCATTCCCCTCTGTAAAGCCTGAAGTCAACTAAAGGGCTAATGATAACTATCAAAATGCCTGCCATTTGATATAAATAAATAATCTTACTTGTATGATTTGAGTAGCTACTATTAAACGCGCTTATATTTCCCCTTAGAATATCATTCCAAAATGCAATCTTACAAGCAATATTTGTGAACTATATGTCCCTGAGCCAGAAAAGAAGGCACTACTGGAAGAATCAAGGGCCTATCCACAATTGGAAATAACAAAAATCGATCTCCAATGGATTCAAATTCTCGCTGAAGGTTGGGCATCTCCTTTGCGTGGATTTATGCGTGAAACCGAGTACCTTCAAGTTCTTTTTTTTGGCGGATTAGTTGAGGGCAAGTAATGTTTATGCCTTATTCGGCATAATAATATGTATAAAGTAAATGTGCCAGAATTATCTGGTGATTGGCTAATGAGAAGAAGTTTGAAGGCGTTCGATAAGGTCTCCTTGAACGATGGACTAAATTTATTGATTTAAATCAACTTCAATTGCTTGAAAAACGAAAGTAACTTGGGGGCAATGAATTGAGTGCACAATTCTATTGATTATAGTGCCTATCTATTATCAATATTTAGCCGGACTTTACAGAATCGTTTCTCATTGGCGTTCACTCAATAATATGATTTGTCAGGCGTTCTGATTAAGTATATTGAACAAGATGTGATAGTCTCAAAGGATAACTCAAGTTCACCTTCCTGTTATACAAATCGGGCGTGATAGACTTACCTCCACGTGGTGCACCCTGGGCAACGTATACTCATACGGCAAAAAAGTCTATTAACTGGCGATTGACTTCTGGCACAGTACTCATCCTACCTTTTCTCTGCCTTCATGTCTGTCTCTTTACATCTTTAAATCACTCTTCTGTTCCCCACCCCTCGATTTTCTGTTACTTTGATGTTCCTCCCCCCTGTGAAGTCCGAAGTCAGCTAAAGGGCTAATGATAAATATCAAAACGCCTGCCATTTGAAATAAATAAATAAATAAATCGGGCATTGCTGAAACATCTCTACAATTCCTGTCTAAATTCAGCCTTCCTTCACCTGGCAAAACATTCTCACTCCTTCAAAGCTCCCTCAAATTTCCTCTAAATTAAAGGTAAACTCTCTGCGAAGTTCATTAGCCTTTATAAGCGCTTTGTTCCCTCTTGATCTTTTGGGATTATCTGAATACAACCTGGTTTGGCCATTGTGGTTTCTCAATCGTGGTATTGTTTCGACTATGCAAACAAAAGAATACGAGCGTTAAAACAAAAACAACTAAAACTCAGAAATATTACCTTTTTTGTGGAAAGTGAATATGCTCCTTGAGGAATAATCAAAGTGTCCTATTTATTGTTTTATTTAGGACGTGGTATGTACAGCAATCTTCCAATTCCAATAGTCCTTCCAGTTTCGGAGGAAGACAAGAATCGATTGTCAACGGATGTTAAACACATCACTCTGACCTACCGTCAAAAGGTCATGGCTGTGCTTCAAAATATCGAATTCTACCCGCACAGAAAGGCACTGTCTATAACATTTTTTTTGAGTGAAACATTTTGAAAGCGATTCTGACTTTCTTTACCAATTATAGGAGGAGAGATGCAATCGAATCTTTGGAATTTGCGATCGAGGTCATCCAACTATCGATCAGATCATGTCAACCGGCGATTGGTTGGTGGGTGGTGATTTGAAGGTTTTCGAGAAAGTGGTCTGGAATGATGGACTTGACCAATTCCGCTTGAGTCCACTCTTATTGCGCGAGAAATTCAAGGAGCTTGAGGTAAGGGGAAATGGGCCTATCAATCTTATATATTAATCATACTACACGCCAACCATGCCAACAGAACCAGGTAGAGGATATTGTAGCTAGTGAAGCCTGTCTGACTCAGAAATCTCTGTGGCAGACTCTCCAACATCTGGCTAGACTCCCAGAACAAGCTAAGCTATAGCCCAACTATGAAGGAAACAGACGTACAGCACGGAGCACGTTTATTCAGAGAGTATATTGCGGATAAAGTGTACACGCATGGAGCTTAATCATGATCAGGATGGCGGATTAGGTTAAACAAACGGAGGCTACTGATTGGCCACTGTTTGTACGGTCGATGCACACAGAGTTGTACGGCCGCACCTCCCAACCCTGGCGTGCAGGCATGTGATGACGCAGTAAGCGATAACCTGTCCCACAATACCATCCCTCAAGTAAAGTCAGATTTTGAGAAAACTTTCCTTTAGTGTCTTGAACAGTGTTCTATTATTGCAAACGTTATCGAATTGTGCACTATTTTATTAACATCTCTTAATTTTTAATCGAAAATTAATTTTGGTGCGAGACATTTTTCCCCAGTTATTCCTTTTGGGAGCTCAAGTGAAATAGGTTAGCATTAAGGCCCCAGCTGTGCCCATGAAAGGAAGCATTCGACATGATGTTAGTGACAAGGCACTATGCAGTCTTCCTGTCTCTCCCCTCTCTCTCCCCCTCTCTTCATTTACTAGTTTGGAGTGGCTAGCTCACGTTCAACACTTTCAAACAATTAATGATTCTTCGCTAGCATTACAGGAGGCCTATGCTTATTGGTCGATCGCGGAAATAAGACAGTCGGCCTTGCCATTTCCATTAATTAATTAATTAATTAACTATTTCCACTGTTGGGAGAATAGAGTGCGATCTTACTGGAAATTAGCCAACATTCATGATATTGACATGGGAGACCTGACTTGGACAAAGTGCTCAACCTTGCGGAATTGCAATAGACGCTTCTAACTCAAAGAAAAAGATGCAAAATAATGTGTACTTATTTTTTGGTTTAATTTTTTGTATCTTCAATTCTTATTCCTTCACAATGTTAGGCTGGATCAGAATTCCGACTGTCGGTTTCTACAGATGCATATTTTGCTTTTATAATAGCAATAATACTCGAATTTCCGAGTATCTCCATACTCATGAAAAATTAAAAATAATAATGATAATGCCGTCTTTTTCCTTGTCAAATTTTAAATACAGAAATTTCGCCCGTTGGATATTGCATGAATTAGCTATTGGCGCAAATAGACGCACATATCTGAAGAGATAAATGGTGGTGCAGAAGATTAAACTTTATAAAACTTATTTTATTTCACCACGAAACAATGTAATTACCATTTTGCTCTTATAATTTGATTAGCATGCCTACTTATTATTGCTGATTTTAAATTCAGTAACTCTGATTCCCAAAATCTTTCCCCTTCTATTGCCATTTGGCTTGCTGTGCATCGTCATTGGTTAAAGGGTACCATTCATTGCCAATTTGTTTGTCGTATTCATTTCTCATTAGAGCAAGCTTTCTTGCGTATTCATCAGATGGAATATGCTAACAGACAAATTCTTATCGACACGCAACCAGTGAACTGCGCTTCGTAAGACGGGTAAACATTGTCTGAATAGCGCAAAATTACTTCCTCTTTTTAATCTGCCTTAATGAGCCAATCGGATAAATATCTAGGCATCGCCTGTCCTCTTCACATTAATCTCATAATTCCTCTGTGGTTTAATTGATAGGCATACTTACTTATTGAAGCAATAATCGACATCACTTTGAACAATTAACAGTCGGGAAATTAATTTTATTAGACTTTAATACCGTTCCTCAAGTACCTGAATTTCACGTGGGCGTGTGGTATTTTGCCTCTATTTCTACTCAGCTATTGGCTTCTCCTTGACAACTTGGCCAATTCTGCTAGCATTAAAGTACAAAAAATGTCTTGACTTTTATTCTTTCTTTTAAGTATAGAAAAGAACACTGGTTTATTATTACTATTATTAGGAAATGAGGTGTTCACTGTAGCACTTTGAATGACGCCCTCTTGATATAATGCAATTCTGTGCAAAAGGGCGAATAATTTTGGAGAAATCTAAATGACCTTTAATGACACCGAGTGGTAGTTAGACACGGCGCTTTAGCTCAACGCCAATCTTATACCATTTCCACGTCTTTCAGCACCGGTTGCCAAAATTTCAGTTAAAATTTTGCACTGTAGTGATGAGGCATACTTGTTATACTCTGTGTGGAAAGATGGGGAACTTTGCCTTCATTTGGAAGTGGTTCTCTTGTCTGTTTGATTCTCAAGGAATTCGAATTTATGGGCACGCAAGTTGAATTCTCAAGTAAATTTTCTGCTCAGTCGATTAGAATTAATTTTTTTGACGTGTCTACATTCCTTAATAACGCTTCAATTCACAAATTGCTCCAATTTTTTTTGCAAAGTAAATTAAAAGCTTGCATTTAAAGAGCTTATGGATTATTATTACGAAGCTACACTCTTATAATCTAATTAGTTTTCGAAATGCCCACAAATTGCAGAGCTCATTAATAACATGTAAATCCCTTAAGGGTAGGATTCACTTCAAAGCAACGAGGGTGCAACTTAGCGCATTTAAGGAAAAATGAAAATTTAAAGAATAGTTGATAGTAAATAGATAATTTTCTATCTGAAGCGTTTGGAGTAAATATCGGATCAATGTTGTGCCGGATCTCTCTGAGTTTCGGCATTCCACGACGTAGAGTGCTTCATGGATCCAGGTTCAGAAGTTATGCTTTCATGCCTAGAATGGAGTTTTGCTTGGACACCAACATGAGGCATCGTCCAGTTCCCTTGTGTCATGAGATGTCAACAAATTGCTTGCCCAGATCATTGAGATTAGGTGGAGGGTTCAAAGGGGAGGTATTTAGTCTGCGGCATAAGTCCTAAAATTAGGTAGACGTGAACTAGATGATATTTCTGGACTACCCGGTTGAAACAGATTTAATGGGTATATCCCGCGGCCACGTTCAATGTGAATCCTCCAGAGTTGGATGAAGGGTTTCTTTGGTAGGTCTGGCAAGACTGAGTCCATTAGGCTCGGTTTTAGGATACATGAGATCCTGATAATAATGAAGTTCATCCTCGCCTCCATTCCGTAGAACGCTTTTGTTAATGCTCCATCCATGTGGAAAGCAGGTCTAACAAGACCGGAATATTTAATTTGTGGATTGATCAAGGAGGCAGTACGTTGGAATTGATTGCTGTCCCCGGTCATGATAGACTCGATGAAAAGTCGTGTTGAAGCGACTTTAGGCAGGGAAGGTTTCGTAGAGTTTGTGAGACTAATTACTTTAGAACCGACTAATTGGCACAGCCTCATGTCATTATTTTCGGCCTACACTAATTCCAATAGGAAGATCTTTCAACTACAGATACAATCGAAGAATTAGCACAATTTTTTGAAGTATTTGAGAAATATTTATTTTACATGTGTTAGAAGCATCGAAAGACATTTTATTTACGAATATTTCTGTCAGCTGATTAGCTCTCAGTTTGTAAATAATTAAGTAATTTTCCCTATATTTGGAGAAAACGACGACATTTTGCTTTTTTTGATACTGTAAATATCACCAGACGTTGCAAATAAAATGGTTTCGTCATTTACTATGCGTTAATTTGCCTTCCCGAAATAGTTACCAATTCCAGAATTCCATAACACGTGACTACCTTACAGTTTGCTTTTTATTCCAGCATTTTACAACCTTGAGATGTAGCCGATTTTAACAAATATGAATTTTTTTAGCAACAGTTAACAATGATGCATTTTTACTTTTTTTAAAAATGTTTCTGTTATATAATTTATTAAATTCACAGGAAAAAGATTTGAGCACTGATTCTGCTGCCTTAAAGACTAAGTGATGAGAACCTCGTGAGATCAAATTCGAGCTAACCGTTTGCCTTATACTCTGTCTGTCGTTCTCTGCAGTCTTGGTTCCACCTCTTTAAAACCTGTAGCTGAGAAAAGATGATCTATGAAGTCTAATTAACTTTCAATCCTGTGAGCAAAGCTTTTACTTGTCCCATTTACTGGTTATATGTAGCTTGACAAACGTTAGTCGAACAGCTCTAATGCTCACATTTTTGAGGATTAAATGGTAAACTTATCAGTGATTATCTAATCATTGTTTAAACAATTATTTATTCATTTCAAATGGCAGGCTTTTTGATGGTTATCATTAGCCCTTTAGTTGACTTCAGGCTTCACAGAGGAGGAGGAACATCAAATTGAAAAAATTCGAGAGGGGGGGGGAACAGAAGAGTGTTTCAAAGACGAGGGTTGAAAATTTAGAAAATTTGTGATGTAGTACTGTGGAAGTGGTCGAATATGACATACAGTGGGGTCAGACGTCAACTGCCGGTTGTCCTATACGCCGGACCAAATAACAATCAACTTTGCAACGCCACATAATTATATGGGCGTTTTCATTAAGAACTAAAAATTAAAATTTTCCCCTTCTAATTAGCAAAATAATTTTATCATCATATAGGGGGGTCGAAAACATTTAACCCTGATTTCGCAACCGAGTACACCACAACAACTTTGTGCATCCTCTGTTTTTTTCTTTTGACAAATTGATGGCTTTAAAAATGTCAAAATTATTGACAATGAAGAGAGCTAATTGGATAATGTTGATATTTTGTTTCAATTTACAGGCGGATTGCGTTTTCGCATTTCAACTTCGAAATCCAATCCACAATGGCCACGCTCTTCTGATGCAAGAGACTCATCGACGATTGAAAGAGGAACGAGGTTTCAATCATCCTCTATTACTCCTTCATCCTCTAGGAGGCTGGACTAAACCTGACGATGTTCCACTGAACATTAGAATTCGCCAACACCAAGCTTGCCTACAGGATGGTATTCTAGATCCAAAATCAACTCTTCTAGCCATCTTTCCTTCACCAATGATCTACGCTGGCCCGAGAGAGGTTCAGTGGCATGCCAGATGTCGGCAGGTTGCTGGAGTTCAATTCTATATTGTTGGACGTGATCCAGCTGGACTTCCGCATCCTTCTCGTCCAGGTGTGGATCTCTACGACCCCACTCATGGAGCTAAGGTGTGTCTTTAAAATTTTGCTTTAGGAAATGTTAAACTATTGATTGGCTTGAAATGTTTTAACTTTGTTAATGATTTTCGATTTGCGGCTTACTAACTACCTCAACTCTTGATCATGGGAGTTATTTTAGTGAATAATAATTGAAGTTATTTGAAATGACTATCAATGCTCTACCTCAAAATAATTACCAAATCTCCTATAATAAAGTGAGTACGTGTAAATCGTTAATTCATAATTTGATTATGCAATATGGCATTTGTAATGCAAAAATCAGTTATTCATTCTCTGGTTAGATAATGGAGACTTATTAAAAGCTATATTTAATTGCAATCGCATCTGCAGGTGTGTGATAGACTTACCTCCACGTGGTGCACCCTGGGCGACGTATACTCATACAGCAAATAAGTCTATTAACTGGCAGTTGACTTCTAGCTTCAAACTATCATCACCTCACTCTATGCCATATTCGACTACTTCCATAGTACTCACCTCACCTTTTTTTCTACCTTTGTGTCTGTCTGTCCCTTTTACGTCTGTGAATCATTATTCTGTCCCCTCTCGACTTTTGGACACTTTGATGTTCCTCTTCCCTTCTGTGAAGTCCGAAGTCAACTAAAGGGCTAATGATACCCATCATAACGCCTGCCATTTGAAACAAATAAATATTTGATTGCAATGTTTCCATTTAATCTGCAGTTTCACAATAAGAAGGAATTGACACATTTAGGTATTTAAATTGGTAATAAGGAACAAAATAGTGTGTTTAATTGAACTGTTTAGCTATTAAATAGTGAGTTTGAAGTGCATTTTGGTAAGTTACTTTATAAATAGCGTAAACTAAAATTATTGTAATACAATAATAATTACAGAGGTGGGTGGCGAATTATCAACTAGAACTGAGCAAAATGGGAGTTTATCTTAATTTGTTTTAATTAATTTTCTTTTTAGTGTTTAGTGTGTTGCGCATTTAGATCATATCAGGAAAGGAGGTAAGGCAACAATGGTGAGTTGGGCTGCAAAAGTACTGAGAAAGGCTATTATTGATTTTTATAGCTTTAATAATAAGTTAAATTAGTGCAATAATTGGGACCATAAAAAAGCATTTCCAGTATATCAAGTGAGGTTTTTTAACAAAATTTGACTCAAATAGTGTCTGTCTGTCCCTTTTACGTCTGTGAATCATTATTCTGTCCCCCCACCTCGA